CATTTAAATGAGTAATTTTTAATTTCAAATTATGAAATTTACCGAAGGACGGAAGGAAATGTATCCTCTACATCCTCGAGTGTCAAATCATTTTCGACCCAACCCTCTGTATGATAACTGAAAAACAATAAAAAATAGTCTCATAAATCAGTGATTATATATGTCTTACTAATAGGCTTGAGCCCAACCATGGTGCAAACTATCAGCCGTATCTTTGTCAACTTTTGTAACAATGAGGATAAAAAGCTCTGAGAGCTTGTCGTAGGTCATTGAGTTTACCATTTGTTGAGGAATTATTTCAATAAGTGTTTTTGTTTCTAGCTTCTTAACATAGTTTATAAGAGCGTTATTACAAGCCTAGAAATAGACAAAGAATGAAAAGAATTATGTATAAATCTGTCGAATGAAGAAAATTTTTCTAAATTAATTACCTGGTACGTCTCTTCACACAGATGAGCTGGGTCATTGTTTTCGAAATAGAGACGAAATTTATTCTTTAAAGAATCAACGGAACAAGTAATGAACGGGTTGGAACTCTGAAACTACAATGAGATCACTTTTTGTGAATCATATGATTATTATAAAAAACAAATGATAATGAATATGACTTACCGTTCTGCATTGTCGTATGACTTGTGACAAACGAAGCATTTTTGTTGGGTCTAAACCAATAAATTATGGTAGAAAAAAAAAAGATAAAAAATCTGAAACAATTCTAGATATTTGATAATTTCATAAAATAAAAATATGAAAAACAATTTTTAAGTTTATTTGTGAATATCCAGCAACGACAAACTCTTCGAGCTAGAGTTGAGAGAGATGAGCGTGACGCGTTTGTCATCAGAGACGCAGAGAAAGCCGCGAAATTTAAATGACCATTTTCCGAACACCTGTTCTCAACACACTACAGTGTCTTGTTTCCACCAAAGTAAAATGTTCCGTTTTTCAACCTTATTGAAACAATTGTACAAGGTAAATCATATTCATTATCATAATTCCATTAATAATCTGATAGATCACTAGTAAACCAGATCATCTAGTGTATACTGTTCAACTATTAATGGAGAACGCTCATGAATGTCTGAGAAAAAGAGATACTGGCCTAGCTTCTGAGAAATGTTTCCAGGTATATATTTTTTGAAAAGTTTCTATTTTCAACAAATTAATTAACGTAAATCTTCATTCTGTGAACAAAAATAATTACCATCATTATCATCGTCATTATCGTTTTCTGATAACAATTACTAACCTGAATCATCTCACGTCGTATAAGTAGAGAATAGAGAGAGAAATAAAAAAGAAGTTTTCTCTCTCATACTCTCTCTATCTTTGACTTGATAACTCCTCATCTCAATAACAAACTTCATCTTCTTCTACCCTCTTTACCTTCTTCCCCCTCCCTCCTGTTCCTCTTCAATAACATTATTCTTTGAGTTCTTTACTTCTTCTCAATTAATTCTATGTATATATAGTTAACACTAATATTTGCAAATTTCTTATTTTTCCCTGAGCTTAGTAGCTGAATGAATCACAACAAGACCGTCATCATCATCATCGTCATGGAATATTTATTTCTGTTGTAATAAATAGTACGTTTATCATACACCTTTTGATCAAACCAATCATTCTCTCGTAGGTTCCTCCCTGCCACGATTTTCTGGCTGTCGAGGAATAGTTTCAATATTTGTTGTAAACTCTAGCTTTCTCACATAATCCATACGAGATAACTGAATTATATTAGATAATGTTATACATATTAGCCGTTTCTGCCTGATTTCAGGCATCTAAACTCGCTATGATGACGTATGTAACGAATCTAGAGTTAGAAACAGAAATAAAGATTATTCCCCCTAACCAGGATTGGAGTTATAGAACATTTACAAAGCTCGTAAAACTTCTGATAAGAAAAGTTGACTTTGATTTGGCGAACAAAATCGACAACGGCTGGCGCCAAGCTCACAAGTATTAAATATTTAATCAGTGATTTATAGGACTTTTTTTTATTGTTTATCAGATATCCCACAAAGGGCTGGAGCCAAAATAATTTGACAGTCAAAGAAATGGAATCTACACTTCCTTCCGTCCTTCGGTAAATTTCATAATTTGAAATTAAAAATTACTCATTTAAATGAATATTCTTAGATTCCTTGAAATTTTTGATAAGCA